AGGTGGCACAGTGGATAGAGCACCGGCCCTGGAGTCAGGAGGACCTGAGTTCAAATCTGACCTCAGACTAGACACTTGACACTAGCTGTGTGACCCTGGGCAAGTCACTTAACCCCAACTGCCTAAAATTAAAAAAAAAATTAAAAAAAAAAAACACAAAACAAAAACAATACTAGGTGAAGGCCGGCCCCTCAGGCTTTTTACCCCCCCTTCCCCCATTCACAGATGAGTTGTGATGGAATTTGTTAGTGGCATCTCCTGGGGGCAAATCCAGGTGAGGTCAGATTGGGCACAAGGCTTCAGGAAGACAGAGAAACAGACTAGTCACCTTTCTTTGCTGCTTTTTCCACAAATATCGCGTAACAGGTTCCAGAACGTGGCTGAGAGACAGGCATCTCCAAAGGAGACGTACACCAGTGTGGGTGCCACATGAGGTGCCGACAGTTTGGCCACAGGGGGTGAGAGAGTGTGGGGAGTTCTCCAATGTGAGCCTGGGGGTCTGGGAAGATGGGGAGCTCTCCAAAGTAACAGGGTAGAGAAGATGGTCAAATCATTAGTATTAAAAGTGAAAAGGGTGAATCCATCATCAGTGGAAGGGGCAAAAGCTACAGGGGCACATCCTGGAGAAGGACTCAGACAAGCAACACCCTGACAGATGCCAGGGCGGGCAAGGGCACACAGCCCCAAGCAGTCAGTTCTGTGTCGGAGACCACCTTTTGCCTCAAAAAGTCCACACCACCTGGGCAGGGCGAGGCAACAGGAAGGATCGCCAAGAGAGGGAAGGATGGCCAAGAGAGGGAAGGATGGGAAATAAACAGCCCCAGCAGATGTGAGGCAAAAAGGGCTACACGGCGCAGGAGAGAAGGACCACAGAAGCCGATTCCACAAGTACATGTACAATGCTGTCCAGAACACACCGTGCCCCTACCACCGTGCCCCTACCACCGATGCTACGGGGCGAACTGCAGTCTGAACAACAGCCGGACACTAAGAAGGGCCGAGAACACACTCCTCAGGAAAGAAACCAATGGGAGCTCCCAAATAAGAGGGCGAAAGGTAACAGTGTTTGCCCACAAATGTCCTAAGAAATGTGTGCTTCTCAGGTTCCCATTTCTGATGCCACTTAACAGCAACAACAGCTGGCTGGTCACATAAGGTCTCCACATGTGCTGGAGCCCCATGTCCCAAGACAGACCCTCTCTCTTCTCCCTCCCTCCCTCTTCTCTCTCTCCTCCCCTCTTCCTCTCTCTCTCTCCTCCCCTCTTCCTCTCTCTTTCTCCCTCTTCTCT